CCCCCCCCGCCCCCGGCAGCATTTTCTTCCTGGGCAAGAGGGCTCCAGTGCTGGCCCCGGTAGCACACACTGGTCTCCTGCAGCAGTGTGCTGGGACCAGGGCTGCCCACACCTGGGCAGTGCCACTGAGCACATCGTGGATTCCAGGCCGGGCCAGTCCACACATGCCAGCATCCCCAAAGGCACACGTGGCTGCAGTGTCCCAGCAGAGTGCAGTGGGTTGGGACATGTGGGGGGGGGCGGGAGGGGCAAGGGGGCAAGGGTGGAAGTGGACAGGGAGTTCTGCCCCAGCACCAGCCCTAGCCCTCAGCGTTCTGTCCTCAGAGACAGGGGCGGGGTGCACACGGCCCTCGCTACCAGCCCCCTGCCAGCGGCAACAGGGAGATGGGGGCGGGGGTCCTCAATCCGTGAGCACCTGCCAGGCCCTGAGGGTGGGGGCAGCCTCACCGGTAGAGAAGCCGCTGGGCCCTCTGCTGGGGCGGGGCGGGGCTGGAAGGGTGCAGACAGCAAGCACAGCACGCAGCTTCCACCCCACCACAGCTCTGTGGATATCCCTAGTACTGAGAAGCACGCCAGGAGCATTCTACCGCCAAGAGTTACATCCCAGCCTTCCGAGGCAGGGCCTCCCCAAGTTGTCGAGGTGGAACTGGACTTCATCTCCCTGAGTTCCGAGACTGCAGTTGGGTCACCATGCCTGTCTTTTTTTTTTTTTTTAAAGTTATGTATTTGTTTTGGTGTCGGGGATTGAACCCAGAGTTTCACCAGGGCTAAGCATAAGCACCTGCTCTGCGACTGAGCTGCACCCCACCCCCTGAAAGTGTGAAATACAGCTCAGCTCCCACAGGCCTGAATGCACGTAAGGCACACAGCCTGCTCCTCAGTATGTCCATGTATGCAGCCACCACCTCAAGCAGTTCCAGAACGTTTTCACTACCTCCAAAAGGGTGCTTGTGCCCTTCAGCGCTCCCCAGCCCCCTGTGCCCTCGCCCAAGTGGCTGGCTCTGCGCCTCAGCTGCCCGCCCTGTGTGGCCCCTTCCTGTCCCCTCTGTGCCTGTGCCTGCACCCACAAGCCCCAGGATGCACCCACTTCAGCCAGAGGTCATCTTGGACACTTTTATTGCTAGGAGCCTGACCCGAAGTTCTAGGTGTTCCCAAAATATCCCACAGTGAGGAAACAGAGTCACTAAAGCATAATAGGTGGGCCAGGGTCACGGCCACAGCAGACACCAGTGACACGGACAAATCCCACTCAAACACTCTGTAAAGTTGGGCTCTGCCAGGAGTGACTGGGGAGCCCCCACCACCCCCAAATACCCTGTGGGACCAGAGTACTTAGGTTGTGTGGGGGGGGTTCTACAAATTTCTGCTCACGACAGCGCAGAACTCAAAGTCAGCTTTTCTAAAGTGCTCCGAACATCTCAATACAAAATATACAACACTGATTAGAACATGGCACAGACAGGACCTGGCGGGTGCTGGGGGGCGCTCAGGACACAGGACAGCGCTGACAGAAAGGTCCGCACGACACGTCCAGGCTCTCGGAGGAACCAGGAGCCCAGGGATGGTGATGGTGTGGGGACAGCATGCCACCTGCTCACAGGGCTGTGACCTGCGCTGCCAGGGCCCGTGCTCGCCTGCTCCCCTCCTGGGCCTCACACAGGGAACATCCCCACTTGCATGTCTGTCAGACAGAGGCCCTGCTGGGCGTGGGAGAGGGCCCTGGTGCTGGCTGTGACCCAAAGGGCACCCCTCCAGGAGGAAGGACAGCCAGCCTGAGGTCTGGTCCAGCTGCCACCACCTCAAATTGGTGCAGCCAGGGTGGGCATGAGGCTTGAAACATGAACCCCCAGCTGCACTCCTGAAAATGGGGTGCCACCAAGATGGCCATTTATCCTGCAGCTGGCAACATCTCAGGGTGCTTGCGCCTTGTGTCCTTGGATGTGGTAGGTGGGACAAGGCCTTGGAGGCTTCTTCCTAGCAGCCTGGAGGAAGGAGGATCCAGCCTGCAACCTGTGGCCCTGGCTGAGGCCCAAGGCTTGGGGCTCCCACTCCGGATAGGCAGGACAGCAGCCTCCACCAAGGAACCAGGGGCGACGCCTGCTCAGTCCTTCCAAGCCCGCAGCGCCTGCTTGGATGCCCAGGGTCACACTCTACTCCCAAGGCTACCCAGCTCTCCCAGCTGTCCGTCTCCTCTGTGGCCAGCAGGGTTCTCTGTTGTGCAAAGGTCTTGCCTGCCTCTGGCCCACCGTAGCCCAAGGCACTGGGCCCCTTCAGCGCCCTAAGGACTCCCGCAGTGCCTGCAACAGATCTCTGGCCCTCTCCCAGCCCCATGGGGACCTCCCCCAGCTTTTGCTGTTTGGGAAAACCAGTTGGGAGTTGCTCTCTCACCTACCCCATGGCTTAAAATAGCTCCTGGATTTAACTTGGGTTCAACCTGCCATGAAAAACTTCCATATGTATAAAGCCACTGAGAAAAATCACCCAGGTGCCTCCACTAATCCTACAGAAAGAGCCGAGAGACCCGAAGCACCAACAGGCTGACCCAGCCCGCTGGCTGTAGGGTGCGCGCAGGCAGGGGGAGGGGGCAGCCAGGTGGGCAAGGTAGGAGGGACCTGCACCAGGGCCGCAGCCCTCAGAAGAAGATGACGTCCTCCTTGTTGGCCGCTTCCTCCTTGGTGGGCACCGGCGTGGCTGGCAGCGGTGAGGGGCACGGGGGCAAGGGCGGGAAGATGAGGGCCTCAGGGGAGATGTCCACTGGAGCCGGGCTGGTGGCTGGGCAGCAGGGGTCTGGAAGACAGGGGCCCAGGGTGTCAGCCACTGTGTGGGGCAGCAGATGACTCCATGGTGTAGTGACGGGGCTTACCCGAGGTGGGCGTGGAGCTGTGGCTGCCAGGCAGGATGGGGCTCACCGAGCGGCGGTTCTTCGAGGTGCCCTCCTCCCTGCCCATGAACTTGTTTAACAGCAGCTGCTGCTTCAGGTCGAAGGAGCCTGGAGAAGGGAAGGGGCTTGGACTGCATCCAGGTCACTGCAGGGCCACCGAGCCCCACGACAGTCTCCACGGGCAGCTGCATGCCCTGTGAGGGGTACCCAGACACCACAAAACCCAGGCTGTGCCTGGGGACTTGCGGACAGTGCCATGGGTGCCCGAGGGTGAGCACTACGCCTGTGGGCCTGCAGTCCCGAGCCCTGGCGCTCATTTCCTGTGACCATATCTGACCTCTCACCCCTATTCCTACATGGAGGATCCTGGTGAGAGGTCACTGGATTGGTTATTTCAATTTTTTCTCAAAGGGCCCTCATCCCAAGGGTGACCCCCCCACCACCATACTGCCACTGTCCCACCTCCTGCATGTCATCTGGTACCCTCTCTGGGGAGGGCGAGTGTCCTTCTCATCCTGTGAGGGGCCGTGGCTGGACTTCCCAGCCTAGGCGAGGCAGACCCTGGTGTTCAACTTCCCACCTTGCAGGGCCCCAGGGTTTGGGGCCAAGCCCACCTGAGCTCTCCCAGCGCTGGGAGCCCCGGCTCTTGCTGCCCTTGTCCTTGCCACCCTTGGTGGAGGCGGCCAGTTTGGTGGGGATCTGCTGCTGCACAGCTGCCTGCCTCTGGATCTGGTTGGTGGCGCTGAGCAGCTGGATGGGCACCTCGCTCTTGGCGGGCCGGCTCTCGGCAGGGGCACTGTCCCGCCGGGCCACCTCAGGGCGCTCTGCAAACTCCAGTCCAGTGCTAGACAGCAGCAAGGTCATCCGCGAACCTGGGGCCTTGGCCTGCACCGAGGGCCCCTCCAGCCCTTCCCCGTTAAAGCTGGGAGGGTGACTTGGAGGCTGAGCCTGTAAGAGTGACAAAGACAGGTCCCAGCATCACTAAGGCTCTGGGCTGGGGCAGGTAAAGCCCTGCAGGGCTGGGACCCACCCTGGGCCTTGGCCTGGTCCCTCTGCTCCTGGCCCAGCTCCTCGCCCGGTCTGCTGTGCACCCAGAGAAGGTGCAGTTCTGCTGGTCTCATTCAACCATACTCATTCCTGCACACAATTACACAGTTACACACATTTTTATTTGTGCTGGCCACCCAAACTGTTCTTCGCTGTTTTTGTGGTTTTGGAGATAATTGTTTCTATGTAACCTAGGCTGGCCTAGAGCTCATAACACAGCTCAAGCTAGCCCTGACCCTGAGGTGATTTTTGGTCTCCTGAGTGGTGGGAACCACTGGTGTGCACCACCACGCCTGGCTCACATACACTTTTTCACGTGTATGTGCACACTTGGTGGCACTCGGCCTTGCACTCTCGTGTGCCTGAACGGTCTTCCCGCTCCCTGTCTGCATACGCACCTCGGCTAGCACCTCGGGGGGCAGCGCCCCGGGCGCCGTGTTCTGTTTCTTGAGCCTGCGCAGCAGCTCCAAGCGCTCGCGCTCGCGCTCCACGGCGCGCTGGGCCTCGCGCAGCCGCTCCAGGTCGTGCTGGTAGGCCTGGCGCTGCAGCTCCAGCTCCGTGCGCTCCTGCTCCAGCCGCTCGCGCAGCTGCTGCGCCTCGCCCTCGCGCTCCTGCAGCCGCGCGCCCGCGAGCTCCAGCTCCTGCCGCTGCCGCGCGCACTCGCGCTCCCAGCGCTGCTGCTCCTGCCGCAGCTGGCTCTGCAGCTTCTCCACACCTGCCCGCTCCTCGCGCTGCTTCTCAAAGTTGCGCTGCCGCTCCTGCTCCAGCAGCAGGTTCCCGCGCGTCGACTGCAGCCGGAACTGCTTCTCGCGCTCCTGGATGGCGGCTCGCTGCATCTCCACCAAGCTGTCTTGCTGTGCGATGACCGCCTGCGGAGTATGGGCCGGTGAGCCAAGCCTCACCTAGCCAAGCGGGTCAATCGGCCAGCCCCACGCCCACACCCAGGTACCTGGAGGCTGAGCAGCAGCTGGGCGAGGGTCTGGATCCTCCGGATAAGCTGCGGAGGAGAGCACAGGTGCTGGGCTCCCTGATGGCTCGGGAGGCCCGCATGGTGTCCCTGGGGGAAGCACCACCTGCCACCTACCTCCGACTCCAGGATGCTGGGCAGTCGCAGGCCCGTCTCTGTACCAGGCATTTCCATCTGTGAAGAGAGGTAGGGCCCACCTGTTATGTCCAAGCCTTGCCCTAGGCCTGGGCAGCGGAAAGGCCCTGGGCCAGGCCCTGACTGAGGGAACCCATAGCCTGGGAGAGTACCTACCACCTGAGGGGGCTCCTCGATGCCTCCCAGCATGTCGCTGTCCCTGAGCTTCGAGTCCAGGCTGCTGCCAGCAGGGCCCTGCCAATCACGGGGCCTGGGGTCGTTGCTGCAGACCTTCTTAGCGCTGCCATCTGGAACCCCAAGCCAGGAGTGTGAGGGACGCTGTGGATCCCATGGGGGTGGGTGGCGGTGCTGGAACTCTCTTATACCCCTTCCCCGCTAGGAAACCAGGGCCGGAGTACTGCCTCATGAAGCAGTGGTTTTTGTGGCACAGGGAGCTGTGGCCAGGGAGGGAACCTTAATATTTAGTGGGCTCTGTGATGTTTCTGCCATGACACACTGATGCTGCTCTTAGGTCGCTGCTGGTGAGCATCTCACTGGGAGCCCCGGGGTCTGCAGGCGGCAGCCGCATTACTCACTCTTGCCGGGGCTGCCGGTGCTGTCGTAGCCCCCAAAGGTCTCTGCCCTCCGGGGCAGGCCCATGAAGCTGTTGCCTCCTTCTTCCACCTGGCCAGTGATGCTGCCCAGTCGCCTACAGATCAGGCTGTGGATGCCCTCGACTGCAGAAGGGGACAAGAGCAAGGAATCACCTCGTGGGGGGGTCAGCTAACTCTGCCTAATGGCTGATTCTGCCCTCACTTCCGGGACCACAGCCAGGACCTAGACCTGCGCCTGCGCGCCCAGGGCCATGGTGGCCACATGGAGGGGCTGGGGCCACGTCCTGCTGAGGGCGGGCACGTAGGAGAGTGGTGGGCCCTTCCCCATGGATGGAGGTGGCACAAGCCCTGGGCCTGGCTGGGGCACGGCACTGGCTGTGTCACTCACCCTCGCTCATGGCAGACCGGAGGAGCTGTTCACCCTGCAGGGTCTCTGCAGGGTCGCCCCCGCGGGACAGGCCACGCGCTGGGCCCAGGTCATCCAGCCCGCTCATCTCAGCCATCTCCAGGTAGATCTGCTGCTTCTCCAGGAGGCTTTGTGCTATCAGCTGGTCCTTCAGGCTCAGACGCACTGCGGGGGCCGAATGGGATGGGACAGGGAGGCCGTGTCAGCCAGCGCCTCGAGCCCTCAGGACCTTGCCATCTGGACAACACCAATGCAGCGGGCCGCCTGAGGACCACGCTGGCCACTGGCGGGTTGAGGACAAGCCGGGAGCCTTGGGGTTGAGCGTGTTCTAATCTTGTCTTCCTTCGGCCTTTTTTTTTTTTCTGGTTTCAGAAGGACTGAATAACTTATAGAATGTCATGAGATTAAAAGTACCCCAGCCAAGAAATAAACTTACATTTATCTGACTTCAAAGTGTTAACCCTCTGCTTTGCCTCGTGGTGGTTTATATAAGATGCACTGGTAAAAATTTTACTTGGACCTTAACTTTTTACCTCCTGCTCACTACTAACTAGGTCAGGGTCTCACTACTAGATTGGTAGTGATCCGCCTGTTTACAGCCTCCCAAGAGCTGGGATTACAGGCACGGGGGCTACCACACCCAGTCTCAATTGCTGTCTCAGCATGCCCTGGGGGCGGGGACAGCACAGACATGCTTCCTTTGGCCTTTAATAGAGATCTTTTTCCTTACTGAACCCCTTATCGACATATCCCCCCCTTTGTTATGAATAGAATTGATTTTTTATTTTTGTATTTCGTACAGGGTCTACAGGGCCTACTACACAGATCAGACTCTAGTGACCCTCCTGTTTTCAGTCTCCCAAGTGCTGGGATTATAGGTGTGTGTCCCCACACCAGGTCTCAATCCCCAAATCTCAGCGTGCCCCAAGGGGGAGGGGCGGCTCTGCAGGCTGGGGAATCGAACCCCTGCCCCCTGCCTGCCTAAAAAGGAGCATTAATCCGCCGAGCTATTTGGCTGGCCCGATTTTATTGTATTTAGTTTTATCTTTCTGAGCCAGGGCCCTGCTATGCAGCTCATGCTAACCTGGAGCTCAGAGAGTAGCCCAGGCTGATCTTGACCTCTCACCAATCCTCCTGCCTCAGCCTCCTGAGTGCTGGGACGACAGGCATGCTCTGCACTTGGCATCTCTTTATTTGATTACTGTTCTCTTCGGCGGTGCTGGGGATGGCGCCTCAGCCCTGGCACATGCTGGGCAGACGCTCTCTCTCTGAGCTGCACCCCGGCTTCCCTTGCTGTGGCTTGCATCTGGCATCTCTTCCCCGGAAGCCTCTGTTCATTCACGGACCTGAGCATCTGGCTTGGAGCTGCTGCAATGGCAGCCGGGGCACATTCCTAGGTGCCCCACCTCTCGCCATACGATGCCACACTCCTTAGGGCTTTGCAGCAAGAGGATCATCTCAGATGTGGGCCCAGAAAGGGAAGCCAAAGCAAACCTCTTTTCTTCACATCTTACCCACCCTGTAGTATTGGGCTACTGGCAACAGAAAAAACAGACCCATCTCTGTATGTAAGCCTCTCCCATCCAGCCTAATAACCAGACATCTGCATGGTCCCCACTGCTTTGTAGTTGATTCCACTAAATTTTCTGGGCAAGCCCTCCTGTCCCATGAGAGAATTAAATCCTGCCCCCTCCTTCCCACAACATCTTAGTCCCATTTCTTCTCTTCTTACTCTGGCTGGGAACTCCAGGATGAAAAAACAGTGGTGAAGGTGGGTGGGCATGCCCTGCTCTTGATTTTATTACTGTTTCTTTCTCTGGGTACCGGGAATTGAACTCAGGACCTCATGCTTGCTAGGCAGGTGCTGTGCCACGGAGCTTTATCCCCAGCCCTGCTCCTGATTTTATAGGGAGGAGCTTGAGGTTGGATGTCTCTTCGAGATGGGAGAGAAAATCTTGGTAAAGAATATGTCTTCCTGGGCTGGGGATATAGCTCAGCGGCATAAGCCTGCCTGGCAAGTGCAAGGTCCCGAGTTCAACTTCCCAGGCATGGTGATGCACTCTTGTAATATCAGCCACTGGGGAGGCTGAGGCAGGAGAATCCCAAATTCGAAGGCAGCACGGCCATGTGGGTGGTGACTGCCTAAGTGCCTCACCCCGAGCAGGACAGGATGGGGGTCCTCCCAGGGTCCCCTGGCTGCGGTGGCCATGGAGGATTGTGTCTGTGACTCCAACTCTCTCTTACCCTGGAAGTCCTTGAGTTTCATGGCAACCATCTTCCTCTCCTCCTCGGCCTCGCTGAAGGGTCCCTCCTCCTCGTCCGGACAGCTGCAGGGAGAGGGGACAGGGAGTCGGCGCCTCCCCAGCTGCTCGGAGCTGGGCACAGGTTCTGAGGGCAAGCTGGGATGTTCTTATGCTGAACATAGTTGGGCTGGGGAGGCCGTGGTGCCCTGTGGGTGGTGGCTGTTTGCTGCCTGGGTCTAGCTAGTGTGTGGCGGAGGGCAGGGGACAGGCCACTGTGCCCAGCCTTGGGCCCAGAGGCACGTACAGAGGTCCAGGTTGTGTCTGCTCAGTTCTGCATCGCTGCTGGCCAGACAGATGCAGCTGGAATACCCCCACCAGTATATTTACTTTTCTGCTTCTTTTTTCTGTTTTTAGATGGTTCTAGGGGGTGGAACCCAGGCCTGCATAATGAGTCCCCCTTCCAAGAATTTTTTTTTTGGTTGTATTTATTTATTTATTTATTTTTATTTAGTACAGGGTCTGCAGGGTCTCACTACTAGCTTGGACTCATAGTGATTCTCCTGTTTTCAGCCTCCCAAGCGCTGGGATTACAGGTATGCATCACCACATCCAGTCTTCATTGCTGTCTCAGTGCACCCCAGAGGTGGGGCCGGCATGGCCTGTTGGGGATCAAACCCGGGCTGCTGCGCTCTGCCTAAGCAGGCACTTTAGTCTGCTGAGCTATCTGGCCAGCCCTACAAGTTTTTGTGTTTTAGTCATACTGAATTGCTGTTACCCAGGCTGGGCTGGAACTTGCAAGGGTACCTAGATGATAGGTGTGAGCCACGTGCCCTCCAGGGCCTGTGCATGCTGACAAACACTCTACACCGGCTGTAGCCCCAGGCCACCTCATGCAGGCCCAGCAAGTGCTCTGCCACTGAACACACCTCCAGCCACTTTGTACTTTGTTATTCTGAGTCAGGCTCTCAATTGTCCTGGCTGGCCCCATAGATATGTATCTATGTCTGTATCATTTATATCTATATCTATATTCTTTGGGTGTTTTTGAGGCCAAACTGAACTATGTCATTCAAGCTGGCCTTGAGCTCACTTTGTAGCCCAGGCTGGTCTTGAACTCACAACGATCGTCCTGTGTGCTGAGATGATAGGTGTGCACCACCACACTCAGCTTTTTTCCCCAACCATTCCTGAGAAGAACATGGATGGACAGAGCAGCAGGACAGGAGGAGGACGAGAGGGGAGCAGAGGGCCCCTAGGAGCCCGGAGGAGCTCATGGGGGCCGGGGGAGGCCGCCTCACCTCTCCACGGCGCGCCGGATGTGGGCCATCCAGGAGTTCCGTTCCTCCTTGGAGCTGGTGTAGATCTCATACATCTCGGGCCCTTGCAGGGAGGCGCTGATCAGAAACATGGCCTTCTCCTCATTGGCCACTTCCCGTACGATGAGCTTTTGCAGGGAGATGACAGGCGGCTTGGAGTCCTGTGCCGGGAGAAGGTGGTAGGCAGATGCCCGTTACCCTCCTGCTGCCCAACAGCAGCAAGCCCCTGGGTCTCAGGGTGTGGGGAACTGAGACCGCACGGTGTGCCGCTAGCAGGAAGATTTTGAAAACTGGAGAGAAAAGATGACTATTGCAACGATACCAGAGTGTCTCTTTCTTTGTTTTATGCCAGTACTTGGAATTGAACCCTGGGCCTTTGCTCAAAGTTCCATCCCCAGCCCTTTTTATTTTCAGACAGGGCTTCCCTAGGTTGACCAGGCTGGATTTCTATTCGCAGTCTTCTGCCTCAGCCTCCCAAAGGCCTGGGACTGTGGGCAAACAGTACTCTGCTCAGCTGCTTTTAAAGTGTCAATTTAATATGCTCCTCCCAAAGATAGGGCTTTAGCATGGTATCCAGGCAGGTCCCAAAGTCTCGAGCTCGAAAGATCTTCCTGTCTCAGCTTCCCAAGTAGCTGAGACTACAGGTGCAGAGGCAATTTTTTTTTGTGTGTGTGTGGAACCGGGGATTGAACTCAGGCCCTTGTGCTTGCCAGGCAAGCGCTTATTCTACTGAGCCATCTCCCCGGCCCCTAGAGGCAATTTTTTAATTTTAGTAACTGGTGATGAATACTTCACAGAGCTCAAAAGACACAATGCCATACAGTCTCTGTCCACAGCCATCCTCAGCTCCCTGAGCCAAGCCGTGCGTGTCCTTCCAAACAGAATTCTACGGCCAGGCGTGGCAGGGCACAGCTGCATCCCAGCACATAGGAGGCTGAGGCAGGAGCACACTCGAGCCAGCCTGAACCACCCAGTGAGGCCCTAAGCAAACAGCGCACAGCAACAACAAAGTGCACTCATGAACAATGAGGCACTGTGCTGACATAAAGTGGGGTAACACCGAGTCACCTACAGGACAATGGATACGACCTTGAGACCATAATGCTAAGTACATTAGGCCTGAGCGTAAATAGCAGAGGGCTCCTCTTCTATGAGAAACCCAGGGCACAGGCTGTTTATTTATTTAAATGCATTTGGTAGCGCTGGGGAGACAGCTCAGTGGAATAAGTGCTTCCCTGGCAAGCGCAAGGGCCTGAGTTCAGTCCCCGGTTCCGCAAAAGAAAAAAAAAAGTATTTGGTTATTACAGGGTCTCACTGCACAGCTTGGACTCAGAGTGATCCTCCTGTTTTCAGCCCCCCCCAGCGCAGGGTTTATAGACATGCACTACTACGCCCAGACTCTGCGATGGGCTCAGCCTGCCCTGGGGGTGGGGCTGGCACAGCATATGGTGCAGGGGATCCACCGTGGTGCTTAGGCAAGCGCAGGGACCGGGGTTCAGGGTTTGATTTCGGGCACCACAGGCCATGCGGGCCCTGCCCCCGGGCGAGCTGAGCTGGCCACCGAGACAGGGAGTGGTGGTGCAAGCCTGTAATCTCAGCACTGGGGAGGCGGAGACAGGAGGATCACTATGAGTTGGAGCTGCATAGTGAGACCCTGCACCAAATACATTTAAAAAAATAAAATAAATAAAATAAATAGGGCCTAGCCAAATAGCTCAGCGGATTAAAGTGCCTGCAAGCAGGCGCAGGGGCCGGGGTTCGATCCCTGGGCCTGCTATGCCTCCCTGACCCCAGGCGCACTGAGATGGCAATTGAGACTGGGCATGGTGGGGCACACCTGTAATCCCAGCTCTTGGGAGGCTGTAAACGGGCGGATCACTACGAGTCCGATCTAGTAGTGAGACCCTGAACACCCTGTAGACACTTTCCCCCCCAAAAAAAGAAAAGAAAAGAAAAATTTTAATAAGAATAGGAAGAACTGGGCCAGGCATGGTGGCACACAACTATAAACCGAGCAGTCTGGAGGCTAGGATCACCTTGAGTTCAAGACCAGCCTGGGCTACAAAGTGAGCTCGAGGCCAGCCAGCCTGAGCTGTATAGTGAGACCCTGTCTAAAAAGACAAAAAAAAAAAAAAAAAAAGGAAAGACTTAAATGCTGCATTTAAGATCCACCTACAGATCTCTGTAAATAAAACTTTACTGACAACAGCTGCACTGGGTCATGTGCACATGTCTACAGCGCTTTCTGGGGTACAATGTCGTCACAGAGGAGTCACCTGCCATGCCATGATTCAACTGTGTCATATCAGACAGCATGTGCAAGGGACAGGGGCTGCAAACGTCTTCAGAAACTATCTTTAAATTTTCCATGGTGCTGGGGGTGAAGCCTAGAGGCTCAGGTGTGCTGAACCACCAGAGCCCTCAAGAAGCACTCTGACCCTCTGGCTGGTGGTTCGGCTTGGCAGCTCGGCTCAGAGAGCGCTCTCTCCAGGCGCGCCGGAAAAAGGTGGGCTCGCCAAGCCCTTCAGCAGCAGGCGCCGAGAGTCTGCCACTGCAGGGGAGGAAGCAAGTCCAGGTGGGTATGGGCGGGGGGTGGCAGGTTCAGCCACTGAGATCCCAGCTGAGCCTGGCTCTCACGATTGGGTGTTTAGGGCCCACATTCTTGGAATCCACCTGCCACAGCCCTGGATGGGTGGCCGCCTGAGCTCGGGTGCTCAGGGGTGGGGACCACAAAGCCTTAGGAAGAAAGGGGTTTCCCTGGCAAGGGTTTTGGGGCTCCTGAGGACCTGAAAGTGTCTGCTGGAGGAAGGGGTGTGAAAGCGCAGAGATTCCTGGCCGGGACCCCCAGGCACACAAGGCGCACCTTTTTGTAGCCCAGGGCCACCCCCCGAGGTACCGCCCCTGGGCCTCTGAGCCAGGACAACACGGGCTACGTACCACGGAAGCAAAGACGTACTTCTGATCCTTTTCCTGCAGCAGCAGCAGCACGTCCGTGAGCAGCACAGCGAGGACATCTGCCGAGACAGCGTTCGAGAGGGTCTCAAAGGACCGCTGATGGTGGCCCAGCCCCTGCCTGGGCTTCGGCACCAGGCTGCTTCCACTCGCGACTAGGCGTTTCCTTCCGAACTCAGCCCGGCCAGTGCCCTTCTGGATTTCAACACTGAATGCAGTGAAGGCTGGGATTGCTGTCCCAAGCATCCCTTCAGCTCAGCAGGCTGAGATGGTGCTCAATATCCCGGCACTCGGGAGGCTGAGGCAGGAAGATCCCCGCGAGGTTGAGGCCAGCCTGGCTACGCAGTCCAAGTCCTGCCTGAACTGCATAGTGAGACCCCCATCTCGAAAAAATAAAAATAGCACCAACACGATCAGGGCTGAGCCGCAGTTCCTGGGCCTTGGTTAGGCCATGCAGGTTCTCCCTGAACACCCGGGCCTTGGGGCTGCTCTGACTTCCTGCTGTGGACGGGGCCTTTGGCTCTCCTTGCCTCGGAGTGCCGGTGTGCTGCCTCCAGCTTCAGGGGCGCAGGGAGAGCCGGCCCCGCCCCCACCCCGTCTCAGTGCCTTGGTGCTCACAGCCACTGGGCCCTGGGAGCACCTACTTCTGCTAACTCTGTCTACACCAGTTATCTTTTTCCACCCAATTCTCTCTCACTGCTGTCTGTTGGGTTTTTATTTTTAAAGCTTTTACTAATTTAAATATATATTTTGTTGCATTTGTTTCTCTTTTGGTTGTGCTGACTGAAGATCCAAGACAGTGCCCACCAATCAGAGATGGGGGCTGATGAAACAAGATGACACATGCTAACTAAAGACAATACCTGCCAATCAAAGATGATGCCCACCCATGCAAGATGGCACCCACCAAGACGGCGGCCACCACTCCAAGAGGGACCCCACCAATCCAACACAGTGCCTGCTGGCCCAGGATGGTACCCATCATTCCCAGGCTGCACTGACCATTCCCTGACCATGCCACCGATCTCCTGTTGTAGTACACAACACATCAAGACGACAGCCACAACTCCAAGAGGGAGCCCACCAATCTGACGTGGCGTCTGCCACTCCAAGATGGCGCCCACCATTCTAAGACAGTGGCCACCAACGCAACATGGCAGCTGTTGGAGGCGGTCAGACTCAGAGCGTTACCTTTCAAGCGCCCCGATGTGCTCTTCCAGCACAGCGTGCCCTCCAGGTGGAGCTGACGCCGCAGCATGTCCTCCTTGCGGAAGATGAGCCCGTTCTTGAGTTTGCTGGAGGACTTCAGGTCCATTTTGCCTGCAAGCTCCCGGAGGCGCTGGCCCTTCTCCCACTCGCTGACCTTGGCGTCCACTTGCGAGATGACGTCGCGGATGAAGTCCAGGGCCCGGGTCAGGTCTTCGTAGTCCTCAGTGCCAGCTGCCGCACATGCAGTCACAGATCCATGAGGTGCATTCCCTGGGGCCACTGTCCTAGGGACCCTCCATGATTACCTCCCAGCTCTGATGCCCCAGATGGAAATGCTCTCCAAAGCCAACGCAGTGGCCCAGAGTTTAGCTTGTACCTATGTAAAGCTGTTGCACACAGATGCCCAGGGGTGATTCAAGGGCAAAAACCATCCTGCATAGCTCCTGCCACCCCTGTGTACACAGTGCCTCCCCCTACAGCTCTTCCTACAGACCTCCCCACCCGCTGCGGTGACCAAGCACCACCCCCTTCTGCACCTTGGACGGTGCTGGGAGCTTCCTGTTCTCCCAGTCTGGCTCCACTGGTGATGTGGCCAGTGTGACCATCCTGGCTGACCCTGGGGAAGCCCTGGGCAGACCGTGTACCTTTTCTGCTCTGCCTTCTGTTGCCCCTGGCCATGTGACATGGAAGTCATCCCTGGGCCTGTCTGGATCACCAGGTGAGGAATCACCTTAGTTTATACTCCATGTATCTGAGCCACAGAGCTGAGCTGGGGGCAGGGGTCACGGGGAGCAGAAGAGAGCCAGTCTCCGTTTTCTTTGTTTTTTGAGATAGGATCTTGCCATAGAGTTCAGGTCAGTCTTACGCTTGCAATGTAGCCCAGGGTGGCTGTAAACCCACCAACCTCAAGGTTCCTGGGATGACATGCGGGCACCACTGTGCCTAGCCCTCGATCCTGCCTTCATGATGTGGACCACCTCACTTCTCTGTCCAGCACAGTGGCTTCCAAGGTGACCCAACCCACCGCCCATCTGGGCTTCGGCCCCTTGCAGCCCAGCAGGCCAGGCGGTGGGGCGCCCCCTACCTTCCGTGTTCTGGATGATGCGCTCCACCAGCACTGGATACTTGGTGATGCGCTGCGTGACGAGAAGGATGCACTCCTGTACGCCCAGGCGCCTCACGATGGAAAAGTTGCCGATTTTCTAGGCACCGGAAAACAGAAGGCCTCCTGTGAGCCTCTTATCTCTGGTTGGATCCGTTAATGATCTGCTTCCAAGCCAGGGGTCAGGGGTGAGGGTGGGGGGGTGTTCCTTCCTTTTCAGCTTGCTGGAACCTCTCCTATACTGATTTGGGGGTCACTCACTGGACACCTGAGAGCGGGGGTCGCCTGCTGTACACTGAACAGCAGAGAGGCTCTCACTTAAGAGTGTGAACCAGGGCCCCTGCAAACCAGGGAGGAAGGAGAGAGAGTTGTGGGGAGGCTACAGGAGCTGCTGGCCTGTTGGGCTGCTGGGTACGTGCGTGAGTGCATGCGTGCGTGCATGCGTGCGCAGCAAGCCCTGAACCCTCCAGACAGCTTTCTCTCCCTGGCCCTGCTGACGAGCCTGGGCACGTCCCTCAGCCCAGCACTGGTTCCCTGGTGGTAGACATGCGCACATCTCTGGCTGACAGCCAGAGACAAGGCTACTCGACTCATTTCGTGGCGGGCCGAGGGCACTTCCTGTGCTCCGAGGAACATGCCACATGTTGCGGGCTTGCTGCCACTGCTAGCCTGTGCATTTTGTAAGCATGCCGACCACTGCCAAGAGACATCACTTCTTTAATTTGGGGAGGCTCTAGGGATTGAGCCCAGCGTCTTTATACTGAGCGACATCCCCAGCTCTTATTTCATTTTTTTTTTCCTTATTTCATTTTGAGACAAGGTCTTGTTAAGTTGCCTAGCTTGTGCTTGAAGTTTCAATCCTCCTGTCTCAGCCTCCCTCAGTGCTGGCATTACAGGTGTGCACCACATACTTGGCTGGTTTTATGAGACAGGGTCTTGCTATGTTTTACTCAGGCTGGTCTGGAAGTCCTGGGCTCAAGCAGTCTCCTGCCTCAGCCTCCGAGTGCTGGGATCCCAGGTGCACGGCCCCCATACCCAGCTACTCTGACTTATTTTCACCCCACATTTCTATGAGAGCTTTCACAGCTGTCTTCTGTGGCAGTTTGTGACACAAAGCGATACTGAATGGGGCTGGGGAGATGGCTCTGCGGTCTAAGCGCCTGTCTGGCAAGCACAAAGTCATGGGTGTGATCCCTGGTACTATATGCTGTGCCTGCCTGGAACCCCGGCCACGCCACGTTGGCCACTGAAACCCGGCATGGTGGCGCACACCTGTAATCCCAGCTCTAGGGAGGCTGAGACAGGAGGATCACTACGAGCCCGGGCTGTGTAGGGAGACCATGTACCAAATAGATAAATAAATGACTAAAAAAAAAAAAGCAAGACTGGCACAAATCCCTACAACTCCTTAGGGATCCCCAATTCCAAGATGCTACGGTTCTGTGGGGGGAAAAATCTACAGCAGAAAAAAGATTTTAATTAATTTTTTACCTTGATCAAGTTTTGAAATTTCTTGTTCTGCTGCAGCAGTAACTTATAATGACTGACCGCTTCGTTGTGGCCGCTACAAAACACACCGTATTTCTCTTTCATCCTCTCCCCGTTTTCACCTGAAAACTAACGTCAAACAGGGTGGAGGCGTCACCAACGTACCTAAGACCACGTTTTCGTGTAGTTTATCTGGTTGTGCTGAAATAAGGCCTGCATGCGCTTGCAAGCTCACCTCCTCACCCGGATGTGATCCGGGGCACACTCAACCTTTGTGGCTCGAGAAATCAATGGTTTCAGAATTCAAAGGCGCATGCACACCCTGGCTCCTGCGCATGCGCAGCCCACAAGATTGGAGGGGGGCCCTCGTGTTGAAACTCTAGTGCCACCCCTGGGTTGTCAATACAGAGGAAGCTCCTTCATGTCCCTGGTTCCTTAGCGGACCAGGGTTTGAGAACTTTACAGCTGAAAGCTTTCTGAGATCCAAGAAGAAAACAAATAAGCTTAAGCCAAAGGATGTTTGCAAAATGAAAAGTCAAATTGGTATTACTGTACTTCCAGGTTACTTTTTTTTTTCAATTTCGGGGATGCAATCCAGGGGGCTGCACCACTCCGCCACACACCTGCAGCCCCTAGATGGGCTGGTGGAGGGTGCTCTGGGCAAGGAACCTGAGGGCGGATGAGAGCAGTGTCCCCCACTATGCCCCTCCTGGCCTGGGCTTTGAAATGACCATGCTTCTGTCAAAGGCAGCGGCTGTGATCCTCAAATAAAAACCAAGCAACCAAATGAAAGCATGGGAGGATGCACTCTGAACAGCTCTGACTGGAACGTTTGCTCTTTTGGCCTCTGTGTCCCTAGAGTAGGACATGCAGACCGAAGTCAGCCAGGGATTCTTGCTTTTTTGCTTGGGGTTTTCATTTCATTTTAGGCAACGCTGGGGATTGAACCCGCCGCCTCACGCATGCCAGGCAAGTGCTTGACCACCGAGTGACAAACGCTCACCGGGTGGGGATGCCTGTGGTCCCTGGAGTCGCGGATGCACCCACCTGCTGGACCAGAAGGTCCCCAATCTTCTGGATAACATAGTTGCGCTCGCTGCCCTCCTCCAGCGCCTCCTGGCGGCGCTCCTTGAGGCGGGCCAGGAAGTGGCTGTGCAAAATCAGCAGGTCGTCCACGCAGGGGAAGAGGCGGCTGACGGCCTTGCTGCTGAACTGCAGCTCCTCCAGCAGCGCCCTGCAGTAGACCTTCAGCATGATCTTCAGTGTCCGCACGTGGTGCGCCTCGGTCTGCATCAGCTCTGCGGGGCACGGCGGGACCGGGCTGTGGCCTGCTGCGGGCACTGACGGGTGCCGGCCCCTCTGCGGTCCACATCTGGGACCCTCCAGCAGCCCCTCTCCCCCTCAGACCCCTATCCGGCCTCGCCGAGGAGCACACTGTACCTGCCTTGTGTTGTTGTTTTTTTTTGTACTGGGGATTGAACTCAGGACCTTGTGCTTGCCAGGCAGGCACTCAGGCCCCTGAGCTATCTTCCCGGTCCCTTTCTTCTTTTCTTAATTTTTATTTTTGTCAGCGCGTGCGCAGTATGCAGATTACGGTCCGGGCGCAGCGCCCGCGCATGGGCAGTACGCATTCACGCTCCCTCTCCACCCCTCGCTCCCTTCCTCCCGCTCCCTCCGCCTCACGCTCAGTCTGCTTCTCAGTGGAAGATCTGTCTCCCTACTTCCTCTTCTCTACCTTTTGTTCTGTGCCCTACCTGTGAGTTTCTCATGTAAGAGTAACCGTGCGATGCCCATGTTTATAGCAGCACGACCATGATGGCTACTCTTGGAAGCAGCCTGTATGCCCCCCAGCAGATGAACAAGTAAAGAAAATGTGTTTACACATAATGGAGTACTACTCTGCTGTGAAGGATAGGCCTGTGTCCCCTATAGGTGAAGTGGATGAATCTTGAGATCAAAGTGTGAAGTGATGGGGCCCTGCCCCTTAGCTCAGCTCTTTAAGTGGCTGCTTCAACAAAGCAGTCAGGCTCAGGTTGCTGTGGATCAATCCCCACAACTCAAGCCATCAAGCCAGACAAATCTGCCCTGAAGGCATTCAGAGAAAAAAAAAGAAAATCCTTCTCAACAAACAAAGTGTGAAGTGAAATAAACCTGACGCCCTGGCTTGTCCTTTCTCCTTGTACGAAGCCCTCCACGTCCACATCCTCGGAGGGGCCCAAACCTGAAGTTGGTAGAGGGCATTTGAGGGTGTTTTCACTAAAAAGTTGCTTTGAGCAACACCACTCCTGTGGGTGTGAAACTCAACACATCTCTACATGCCTGTGACCCCCCGAAATTCACAGCTGAGACCTCAGCCCCAAGGCTGTGGTATTGAGGGGACTTTGGAGGAGGTCAAGGCGTGAGTGAGACTTGACTCTCTGGGGGAGACTCTGAGATGGGCATGGTGGGACACCCTAAGTCCCAGCTACTCAGGAGGCTGAGGCAGGAGGGTCGCAAGTGGGAGGCCAGCCTGGTTCATTTAGCAAGGCTTTTTCTGAAAATAACAGGTGGAACGTACTGGGGACGTAGGTCAGGTGTAGAGTGTCCCCAGTTCTATGTGCTGAGCCACACACGCCTTGTAGGCGGCGCCACCTCACTAGGAAGCTTCTGGTGCCTGGGTCTTGGGCTCCCCTGTCTCTAGGACCTCAGGACTTGGTTCTAAGTCACCCAGCCCATGTTGGGTCAGTCCAAAGGGATGGACAGCCACCACAGCCCAGGAGGGTTTTGGGTGAGGCTGACTCAGACCCAGGCACCTGGCCTGGCCCCTCTGCAGGGCCTCAGGTGTCACAGCTTCTGCTTTTTCCTAGGGCTCTCCTAGGGGACCAGGGTGGTAGGGAGGGTGGGGGATAGGGGAAGTGACAGGGACGGTGGGGGATGGGGGAGGCAACAGGTCTCAGGGGAGTTGTTAGGGAGCTCACACCGGAAGCTAGACCCTCAGAGGAGTTAGCAAAGGGGGAGAGAGACAGATAAGAGTCAGAGAAGGAAGGAGGGACAGAGAGAGAGAGAGAGAGAGAGAGAGAGAGAGAGAGAGAGAGAGAGAGAAAGAGAGAAAGAGAGAGAGAGAGAGAGACCTACCGTAGAGCACATCCTGCCTCTTCACCACCTCCCTCTTCTGCTTCTTGGCATAGGCCGGGTCCACAGCCAGGCTCCAGGACTCAGCCTCGAACTCATGGGCATCTGATTCGATTTCGCTCTTCAGCGAGGCTGTGTAGGGGTCTGAGGGGAAGATGGGCTGCTGGAGGGGGCCTGGCTCTGTCATCTGCTGCCCACCACCCTGTGTCCCCAGTGTGGACACACTAAGGGGCCTGACACCTGCCAGCGCGGCTGGGAGGCAGGCAGCCACCATACCTTCCACGAAGACAGGCTCTGTGTTGGGTGTGAGGGAAAGGGAGTCCTCAGCTGTCTGCTTAAATTTTAGAAATGCTGAATCAGCTTCATCCATCTCTCCTGGGACTGGTCTAGATGGAAATGACCAAAACAATGACTTCAAATGACCGCACTCAGCATGCACGCTCAGCCCCCTTGGCCACCAAGGCAGAGCAGTTTGTGGCTCTGGCTGATCAGGGTCAGAGAATGTTCCAGATTCCAGGAGAAGGCTTCATCGGCACAGGCCATCTTTAAAACCTGGGGTATGGTGGATGTCACACCAGGACCCCTTCCACCACCACCGTAATGCTCAGGTCCATCCCAAGGGGCGGGAGTCCTGGGGGTCGCCTGCTGTGTCCTGGGGCCCGGAGGACCCCTTCTACAGGACTTGGGGCGCCTAGCCTCATGGGCCAGGGCGGAGGTCAGCTTTTGCGCAGAAGATAACAAGCTCCTTTATTTCCCACCCACAGGAGTGAGGTTCAGCCTCACTGTTCTACCCTAGTGGTGCTGCCTGAGATACTGACATGCTATGAAGCTGAGGAGGCACAGGTATTGGGGTGCAAGACCCCTAGCATGGTCTGGGGCACGGTAGGGACCCTGTCCATTGAGATCAAGGCTGTTAGCAGCTCTTATAAACAGGCTCCAGGACGCGTTGCTTGTGGTAGACCTCTGGCATCCTTATAGCAAGGGTAAATGGGAATTTCACACGGTATCCAGCTGATCCATCCAGGCCCCCCAAGGACGACCCTCCTCCGCCCACCACAGCAGCTCCTGGTCTGCCCTGACAGCAGAGTGAGGGATCCCGGCTTACCCGAGTCGCACCCCAGTTCCTGTTCCGGTTCCAGTGCCCACAGCGCTGGGTGTTGGCTGGGGACCCCCTTTCTGTGAGCCCGTCATGCCGACCACATTCCTGGACGGGGCCGGGCTGCCATCGGACAGGAGGGTGCCCCGTGGCGGGGGCTCCTTCATGGAGGCTGCGACAGAGGCAAAGACAGAATTGGTGCTGAGAAAGTGGGCCGGGTAGCGGAGGTCGCCCGCGCGGAAGCCCCGCTCCGACTGGGGCCGCAGCACCGACAGGATCTTGGAGGTCAGCAGCTCGTTATCCAGGAAGACGTTCTCGTTCCACTTCCTGGGGAAAGAGCCATAGAAAGGCAGCTCGGGCCTGCCGGGGAGCGCCTCCTGCCTGGCGCCGCCCTTGGAGTGCGCGTTCCCCATGGCGGCACCGCTGCAGGCGGACGCAGCACCGAGCCAGGCTGGGCTGTGTCCTTTTTATGCCTGGGTGCGATCTTTCTAGAAGATGCGGCGACACTCTCCCTTGCTGTATTGGCTGAAGCGGCGCGGCTGGAGTGCAGGAAATTGGTCCCTACTGTGACTATTTAGTGTGGAAACTACATAGCATTTTCTCCTGTGGTTGAACAATAATAATAATAATAAAAAAAAAATCCCTTCCCTGCTCTGCCCTTGGTCATCACGGGGGTGAGCGGCGCAGAGCGGTCTGCACTGGCTGTAAATAATCTACGGCCGTGAAGCAGGGAACGCTGTGCTTGGCGCGCTTCAGGCCACACCACAGACGATAATTAATCTGAGACGGGATGTCGGGGTGACGCGGAGACCCGGGGAACTCGGGAGGGTTCGCCCATGACGGTGCCCTAGAGGCTCTGATTCTATTTTACAGGGTGATTGGAAACCAACCGACAAGCGGCGGGGCCCTGAAGACTCGTTTACAGCCATCTGCTTTTTAATTTCAGGGTTTGCATGGAAGTACTCATACCCACTGGTGGAACTGGGTCCTACTGACTGGGGAAAGAAAAAAAAGCAACTTCTGTTTTTGTTCCTTTCTGTTGCAGCGTCGGGGCTGGAATGCAGGGTCGTGCAGGCCAGGCCAAGCAGGTGCTCACCCGGGACCCCGGCCCTGGAAGGTGGAGCTCTCTGTCCCGGCCCAGCCCTCTCCTATGTGACACACCACACAACGAAGCAGGCCTCAGGGGGCCGAGGGCGCGGCTACTGCACCTCAGAGTGCAGATCACACTGGAAGACTCCACTCCAGGCCAGGACACACAGTGGCACTAAAATAAAGCTGGGGTCATCCTAGCCTGGCTCTGGGTCCCCAGGGCACCCAGCTACTGGTCACTCTGGGTTGTAGGAAGGAGACTGTGGCTTTGATTCTGGGCAGCTGGGAGCGCAGGGAGTTGGGCCGGGCAGGGAAGAGGTCCTCCTACCCCAGAGCTTCAGTGGGAGGGACCTGCCACGGTCTCCAGGCGTCCAGGGTTCCACATGTTGGAAATTCAGTCCTGGGGCCCCAGTGGAGGGAGGTGGGGTCTCGTAGGAGGTGGTGGGTCCTGGGGTTCCACCCTCTCCTTACTGCTGTTACAGGTCAGTCTGGTGCAACAGCAACTTCAAGCCTGTTTGACTTCCTTGGCCTCACAGCACCGCGCTCTCAGACTTCTTAGGTCCTGGCCCATGAGGCAGTAAGCCCCTGTCCTTCCTAACAGGTGTCCTTTTACAGCAGCAGAAAATGCACTGAGAGAGGGCATAACTGACAGGGGAGTAAAGAAGAAAGCTCATAAATGAAGACGGTGGTTGTTAGCAGCGGCGATACCACGTTGGATGTATTTTGCCTAGCCATTCGCCTGTAACTATAGTCCCCAGCGTGGACAGGGTGACACTCCTTCATCTGATGTCATATTAACAAATGGTCATTACTATTACTACCGTAGACCCTGGCGAAGAAGGTGTCACTTGTGCATGAATACCCATGCACAAAGACAAAAGCCCTAAGCCCAAGTCCACGCATTCCAGGCTGGGCGTTTCCAGCTATTTCTGTGCCACACTAAAGCCCGGTCTGGCAGTTATGACCTAAATGTACAAATATGCAACAGATCCTGAAATGCAGCTCGGCTCAGAGACGTCTGACTGATGCCTCCTGCAAACGGAGATCGGCCCCTGGCTGTATGGCAGCGGCTTTGGCCACACATACAGGCCACAGAAGAAAGTGGCCACAAATACCATCCACCAATGGCTGACTGCAAGGAACCTGAATGAATGACTGGCCGCAATGAAGCTCTGGTGGCAGATGTCAATCTTCCCTGTGTGATTCAGGGCCCAGGTGGAGGTCCCTATAATGGGTAGGGGAGTTGGTCTACAGTGACTTAGTCCTGCTCCTTCCTCACGCAAGGCCACCTGACAGCATCTACACCCTGAGCACCTCCCCGTCATCAGTCGCTCAGGCTCCGGGCCAGGATTGCCTGCCCTAATTGCCACCATCCAAGGCTCTGGACACCAAGCCCGCTATGCTTCAGTGACTATAGTCTTAAGCCACTACAAGGGCTCAAAGCCATATCTTCCTGCCCCTGCTTGATTTGGGGCTTCCTGTGGGACCCTGGGTGGTGTGTCATGCCTCCTGCTTCCAGGAGACCAAGCGTCTAAGCCTCTTCCTTTATAGCAGCCGTGTCCTGTGTTTGCATGTCTTATCAGACCTTGTTAAAACAAGTCCCAGTCATCTGGAATGTACCAGTTGCCTGGGGGTGGGAGGCAGCATTCCTTCCTCCCTGTGTCCTGCAGTGGCTGTTGCTTTGGTGGTGCCTGGGAGCAAGCCCAGGACCCCGTGCATGCTGAACTGCTCTACCAGATGCAAAACTAAGGTGGTGGCGAGACCGTAAAATGGTGTGGCACTGTGGAACACACCTGGTGGGTCCTCAAAGTTCATCACAACTCCCACACTTTGGGGTTCTGCCCAAAGGCGGTGAAAATCACGCACACAGATAGGGGTCTGCGCTCAAATGTCCTCTGGCTGAGGCTCAGGTGAGTACAACACTGTCCAACGCAACCACACAACGAAAATGCCCAGCCGCAAAAGGGATGCAGTAGAGATACGTGCTACGGCCCAGGGTTCTATCCCCAGGCTGGGGAGATGAAGGGTGGGAGCTGACGAGGCAGGTGGCGCTCAGGTTGAAGGTGCAGCTCTCGGATCTGTGCCCCACCACTGCCCACTGCTGTCTGCCTCCCAGCACTCAGGAGGCTGAGGCAGGAGGATCGCAGTGAGTCAGGGCTACAAACTGAGACAAAAAAGCCACTTTAGATGGGTTGAGGCTGCAGCTCCGGGCAGCAGAGCACTTGCCTAACATATGCGAGGCCCTGTGTTCCACCCCAGCACCACCAAAAAGATAAATATTTTAAAAAGAAGGAAAGAAAAGGCCACTGTGGAGTTCAATTAGCACCGTCTGCCTCCTGCTGCAAGGTGCGATTGATCGGTGTGCTCCTGGCTGGCGGCTGGGGCGCGGGTGTGCCACGGAGCTGCTGATGCGAGGGGCCCAGAAGAGCCCAGGAGAAAGAACAGGGAGACAGAGCACAGATGGAGAAGGGAGAGAAACAAAACAAGCAAAAACCACCCCCAAACCAAACCAGCGCCCCTTATCCTCCTCAGCACAGCCAGCAGCCTGTTCTGGGGTGATTTCTTGTTACGAGCAGTCTGGAGGGGAGGAGGGACCCTGAGCCTTGACGCTCCGTTTAGCGGGCTGCTTCTCCACACGCAGTCTGCCGTGCTCCCGGTGACTCAGTTTCTTAGAAACCTCAGGGCGTCCCTGGCATTTTCCTCTGATACGCATGCATGGACCCAACAGCTCTTGTAGAAATGTAAGGACCCACAAGGAAATCAGATGACGACACTGAGCAGCCACCATCTACGGGAAGCGAATTCAGCAGAAGCCTAGTGGGACACAGGCATCGTCTCCATTCGCTTTCAATTTGTTTTTGTTTCCCCCTCCCCCGCGACACTGAGTGCCATCCCAGCCCTAAATCCCTCTTTTCTGAGACAGGTGTTTTGTTTTGTTTGTTTGTTTGTGTTTTTTGTTTTGTTTTTAACATTATTTAGTACAGGGTCTACAGGGGCTCACTACATACATCGGACTCATAGTGATCCTCCTGTTTTCAGCCTTCCAAGTGCTGGGATTACAGGCGCCCACCACCACGCCCAGTCTCAGTTGCTGTCTCAGCACATCCCAGGGGCGGGGCAGCACGGCACACTGGAGATCGAACCCTGGCTGCTGCGCTCTGCCTATGCCGGTGCTTTAGTCCACTGAGCTGTCTGGCTAGCCCTGAGACAGGTTCTTGTGAAGTCACCGGAGCTGTGGCTGACCCAGTAGTTCTCCTGCCTTGACCTCCCAGAGTGCCAGGGTTACTGGTGTCATGCTTCTAGCTTTAGCAATGCAGAGTCGTGCGCTGGCTGCTGGAACACCCACATCGGCTTTTCTTGTTCAGGTGCTGCCGGGATGCAACGCACAGCCTGGCGCATGTGAGGCGAGTCTGCCTGGGAGTGTGCCCCGGCCCTTGCAGGGTCACCTTCTGAGCAGCAGCTGTCAGCTCTAAACTTCAGACTGCTGCTGCCCCTCAATGGCAAGGGGCTGAGAACATCTTCCGAAAGCAGCTGGGCCTTGGCAGCGAAGGCTCTGTGGTTTTCCGCCAGCAGGATTAGACCTCCAGCCTTCAAGGGAGGAGCAGGCTTCCCTGGCCACACGGCAGTTGCAGACTCGGCCGAAGAATCCCCACTCCTTTTCTCTTAAGGGGCACCAGGTGACCTGCTCTGTGTTTTGCCGAAGACTTCCGTTACAGCCCGAGTGCTCCTGGCTCTGGAGAATTCTAGCAGCAGCGAGGGTTCAAGAGGCAATTACAGAAGATTGGCCGCAAAATGAAGCTTTCAGTTCACAGTTCCTGGCTTCCCGGCCCCACAAGGATAGACAGAATCGATGCAGAGGCGACACATCGATTTCTCCATCCTGCCTCAGTTTGAGAGTACATAAGCATGACAAAGAATAAAAATACAGAAGGGCAGAGAAAGAAAGGAAGAAATGTGGGCTGGGGAGATAGCTCGGTGGTCTAAGTGCCTGCCTGGCAAGTGCACCGTCCCAAGTTCGATCCCCGGTATTGCACGCCACGCTGCCCTGAAACTGGGGGTGATGGTGAATGCTTGTAATCCAGCACTAGGGAGGCTGAGACAGGAGGATCACTGAGTCTGAACTGCATAGTAAGACCCTGTATCAAATAAATAAATAAATAAATAAATAAATAGAAAGAAAGAAACTCTTCATTTCATGCCTCAGGAAGCAAACAAAATTTTAAAAGGAAACCCTGCAGGGTAGACAAGTCCATCTGAGTCAGTCTTCTAAAATTTGGGACACTTGGTTCTCAGCACTCCTGGTTTTATCATCAGTGAATTCAATCAACTCCGGAAGAAAAAAACAGAAAACAGCGGACTTGTGTCCGCACCAACACCTACAGCACTTTGTCTTCAGCATTATTCCTTATAAGACACAGCAGGAGGCTGAGGCAGGAGGATCGCTGTGAGTCTGAGGCCAGCCTGGGTTACACAGTGAATTCAAGGCCAGCCTGAACCACACAGCAAGACCTTCTCTCAAAAAACATACAAAAAATCACTTGTGAGACTTTGGCTAAGATCAAGTGTAGTATCTGTTTTTATCAGTTTAATATCTGATACGTCCTCTACCTGAGGACAACATATTAAATGGATTTTGGGAGCTGGGAGATGGACTAGGAGCTTGCTGCCTCCACTCCATGCATCGATCTGATATTGCAGTAGCTCCAGGAACGGGGCCCCCCTGGGGGGGGTAGGATCCCTAATCCCATCCTCTGAGTTTACTGATGAGATCACTATGTTTGATTAATTAATTTTCTGAGTTGGATGTCTCATTACGCTACCCAGGTTGGCCTCTACATCCTGGGCTCAAGCAATTATGCCTCAGCCTCGTAGGTAGCTGGGACTGCAGGCGTGACCACACCCAGCTGAGAAATAAAGTTTATTAGTAAGTGAATTTGAGGCCCCTCTCCTAAGTATTAGCAGCAAAACACATTTGTATACAAACGTAATATAGCGGCTGTGGGCTACACCACTGCGGAAGTGGGTCAGCACTACAAAATCAGATTCTGTGTCATTCCTGGGACTATCCCGGAAGTTAAAACAAGGGACAGCGCACGCTCGGGCCCTAGGCAGGGACGGCGGCAGGGGCAGTGACCTTCCACCTGAGCCTCACACTTTTCACAAAAGGAATTCCCAGAACAGACCAGAAATGCAAAGAGAAAAATGCAAAACCATAAAACCTTTCCTAGGCAACAGGAAATGAAACTTCCAGAAAGGAAGGCAGGGTGAAGTATTCTTTTCCTTGTTGTTGCTGTTGTGTTGGAGGGAGGGTTTCTCTAGGCAGTCCAGGCTGGCCTTGGACTTGCAGGGATCCTCCTGCCTCAGCCTCCTGAGAGTGGGGATCAAGGTGTGTACTACCACACCCAACCCAAGTGTTCTCTGATATAACAACAAAAGCATGATCTTTGTGAAAAAAATACAAATGATTTCCTCAGGATGAGACACTCTTGTCCTGGTGGCAAGCCTCTGGTCCAGGTACCATAGTGGGCCGCTTGTACCTCTGAAGGCTCTGAAGGTTCGCCATCACTGGGATGCAGACATGCGGGTAGGCAGGCACTTGCTGTGGTGATGCGACGAGGCGCATGCGAAGTGGGGACTGACGCCCTGGCTTGGGCTGTGTGACTGCTGGAAGCTCCTGGGAGCAGGTGGAGTGTGGCCCAGCTCTAAGCTTGGGCTGCCGGCTCTCAGGCTCCTGACGTTCACTGACTGACTTCGACTGAGCCCTGGCATACTGGAGATGGGTGCTCTCTGCTGCCTCGGGGCTGGGGACCCAGGAGCCCTTCCTTGGAAACTTGCGGGGACCCTCCCTGGCCTCCTTGTCTATTGCTACCATCCTCACCCCGCACCCGAACTACACGGACAGACAGCCCGCGGGGTCTTCAAGGCCTACTTCCGGCGCCCTGTGCCCGCCAGCTCTGGAGCCGGTGCTGGATGTGGCGAAGGTCTGCCGTTCCCCAGCTCTGGGCACTGGCCTCAGGTCAGGGTCAGGTTCTTCTCAGTGCTGGCACTTGGGACATGGAATGGAGCAGGTAGGTGTGCGGTGGTGGGGCAAGGACAGGACAGGCAGGCACCCCCGCTTTCAGGATGAACGCTGGTGAGGTGCAGCTCAGAGCAGAGCGCTGCTTGCCTCGCTGAGCTCCACAAAAAAGATGAGTTGAATGAACAGAAAGTTTAAGGTCCACTGCCACCCAGAGGGCTATTACCTTAGGTGGGGCTTTAAATTCCACCTTAGATATAAAATCTGTGCTGTATGGCTGTGTGGCTCCTGGCATCTCTAGTCAGGAAGTGAGCAGTCCCCTGTAAGATATTGGGGACCAGGGACAGCCTAGCCCCTAGGGTTTCCCGGGGGAGGAAAAAGAAATGTGAAGCTGCCTGCAGCCCAGCGCTCTGACCTCCAGCTTAGATACCGTTCACCCCTAACCAGCTGTATCCGAGGACACCCCGAAGTGCCAGCAATTCGCTGCATGGAACCGAGGTGGAGCCACTCGAATTACGGGAAGGTCACCTTCACACACCCTAAGAGCTGCCGCAGGGGTGAGCTTTGGACCCATTCTCCGGCTTGCTGTCTCTTACTCCATTTATCCACTTCTTGGCTTGCTTTCCCTCACGTCATGGCCTAGATCTGAAGTCCCCAGAGGTCACAGGCGTTCAGGAGGGGACTTGGGGGGCTGCACTCATTCGTTCGTGCATTCACTGGGAAGGCGCCGTGGGAGGCGGGGCCTCGCTGGGCCGGCACCGCAGCGAGACCCGGCAGGAGGCTGGACTTTGTCCCTGGCTCTGGCTTGCTTGCGGCTGAGGCTGCGGAGCGGGCGGAAAGCAGAGCCAAGCAACCGTGGCTGGCTGGCCGAGTGCTCCGACGCCGCAAGCCCGCAAGCCGAAATAAACCTGTCCCCTTCAAGGTGTGAGTGCTGACTATTTTGACTCGGTGATGGGAGAGTGGCCGAGGCGCCTCTTTATTCTGCTGCTTTACTGTTTTCCCTTGCTTCGCTCTCTCACCTCTGTAGCACGTTTATCCTGGTTTCGGGTGGGCTTGGGGGTGATGGCGATGGGGGTGCAGCTGGCTCTGCCGAGGCCGTCGTGGCCACAGCCTCCTACCCCCATCCATTATCTCTTCTGTGCTGTCTTCTAAGAGATTAGGGGGATATTCCAGAGATGCTGCTTTGTTTTCTTTCTTTTAGTCTTGCTATGTAGCCCAGGCTGGGCTCAGATTTGTGGCAATCCCCCTGCCTCAGCCTCCTGAGTGCTAGGATGCCAGCTGGGCTGCATCTGGAGCTTTTTGACCCCTTGCACCCCCGCAGCAGCGGCAGGGTGGGTGCCCATGCCAAGGAGCTGTGCAGGGTGGGCTACTGATGAACAAATGCACACACGCACGCACACCCAGGGAGCCCCGCGGCTCACACTGTCACTCAACGCCCACTGTCCACAGGAGATGCACCTCCACACCCAGGGAGGTGTCCAGCTCCTTCATCACCTCTCTTCCCTCCAGCCCTCCCTCTCCTCCTCCCTCCCTTCCTCTTGCCCTCTTCCCTTTCTTTCTTCCTTGGTTTCTTTTTGGGCTGGGAATGGAAGCCAGGGCCTCGCACATGCTAGGAGAGTCGTCCACCACCGAGCTGCACCCCAGCTTTCCCTTTAAGCAACCTTAACTTCAAGTTTTTTTAAGTAAAGGGAATTTCCCTAGTAGAGTTATTCCATTCATCAATAACATAGCTAGGGGTTGGTGGCATAGATCTGTCACCCCAGCCCTTGGGAGGCTGAAGCAGGAGGATCAACATGCGTGGGGGGGTGCCCGGCCTGGACTACACAGTAGTGAGCTCAAGGCCAGTCTGGACTACACAGGTAGAACTTGTCTCAAAAACAAACAATAGCCAAACAAATAAAACACATTTTCCTCAATTACTGTCTGAGACTGTCAGTCTACTTTCTGTTACTGTGACGAAATGCCTGAGGATAATCAACTTAAAAGGAGTTAATTTTGAGTGGTTGTCACACCATGGCTAGAGAACATGGCGCAGGGGTCCTCAGGGTCGCACCCTCCCCCGCCCCTCCCCACAGGGCCACAGGCCAGGGACTACTCAGCCCAGATGACAGCAGACACCGCTGTGGCATCTCTATGTTAATGCCTGATACCCAGATCTTTACTCTTGTTTACTAAAGAGAAGACACGACCAAGGCCAGCTGCTGGGGGTGAGTCATCCCAGCAGCACTCACAGGAATGGAGCGGGCCATTCTTGGGCCTCAAACCTGCTTGCTGGCCGCCTGCTTTGACCCAGCAGCAGGAACACCGTGGTACAGCCTTTTCATCTGCAAAGGTCCCTGGTCGATGAGAAACACAAGTATGGGCCCATGAAACAGTGTCGCCTCTACTGTTGTTACCTGAATTTGATCTTCTTCCCCTAATAGGATGGGATGAATTTAAAATTTGCAAAGAGAAAAATCAAATAATCGAGAGCTGGGTGTGGTGGTACACTCCTGTAGTGCCCAGAGCTCAGGAGGCTGAGACAGGTGGACTGCCCGCATGGAATACACAGCCAGATTGTGGTCCCAGACAAACAGGTCATGGAGCAGCAGTCTTGTACTGGTGGCGGTGGAAGGTGTGCTGAGGGCTGGATCCACAGCTCGCACACCCACCCAGGCAGGTGCTGCACCACCGAGCTAGCGCCCAGGCTGGTGACCAATGCACAGTCACGGGGGCTGTGTGCATACTTAGAATCACAGAGTGGCTACATGCTTCAAGTTCTTTCACACTGCTATGGCCCTGGCAAGTGTGACTTGGTTCACTTCCCTGTGGTCAGATGTTCCACACCAGTCTACCAGAGAGGAGACGAGAAGGAAGAGACAAAGGTCAGAATTCTGCAGTCTGATTTTAGATACGGATCACCTAATTGCTTTTCCAAAGGGCTGTGCTAATGAACGCAACCTCACATAAAACCCTACAGAAGAAAGTACAGCCTGCAAGGTGGCTTAGATAACAAACCTTCATACTGTGTGCGTGTGCATGAGCATGTGCGTGTGTGTGTGTGGTGTGTGGTGTGCAGAGAATGAAACCCAGGACCTTTTCACTGAGATCCACCCACAACCCTTTTTATCTTTCTTTTTATTTTGACACAGGGCCTTGCTTAGTTGCCCAGGCTGGCCTTAAACTCTTGATCGTCCTACCTCAGCCTTCCAAGTAGCTGAGATGACAGGTGTGTGGCACCATGCCTGATAAAATCCAAGATTATTTCAAAATAAAATTAAAAACAAAAAAAGCTCAAAGGAGATGCCTGCAGTTTTTGATGCACAGAACAGACTGCTGGTTTCTGAGCGGCCTGTTTCTGAGTTATGCGGGCTGAGCAGCCCCGACCCCCGATTGTGAAGGCCAAAATCCCACAAAATCTCTAATTTTGTTTTCTTCTTTTTGATGCTGGGCCTGGAGCCCTGAGCCTCTGCACTGAGCCACCTCCCCTGCCCTTGCTCAAGTGGAAGATTCCACCTAACTTTTCAGGGCAAAGCAGTATATAAAATGACTTTTGGGCCATGATGTAGAAGACACAGATAAAGTAAAGACGAGTTTTGTGTTTAGGTTCGGGATCTCTCTCTAAGACACTTCCTTTTGTGTGGCAAACATTCCGAAATCTGAAAAGCCTCAGAAACCTGAACCATTTCGGGTCCTTCCCACACCGACTGAGGAACACCCAACCTGCA